TATGTCTTAGCTGTACCGATCCATTGGAACATCGCCGAGATATAGGCTCTCAAAAAAGCAGGTAAAAACCGTTTTTCAGCTCATAACTTCTTCAAAACTGCATGTATCATGTTGCGACTTCATAGGTTAGATTCTCCTCTTCAAGAGCTTTCAGATGATATGTAATATGTGAAGGATTCATGTTTCTTGCGGCTCTAACCCGGGGTGGAGTACTCCTCTTCACCAATTCTCCACCCCGCCCATTTCAATGCATTGGCGGGAGGCTGCCAGTGGAGAATTAGTGAAGAGAGGTACTCCACCCCCGGGCATATGCCGTGGGAGGCGTGATTCCCCCACATATTATATATCATTTGAAAGCTCTTGATGAGGAAAATCCAACCTATGAAGTCGCAACATGAATTATGCAATTCTGAAGAAGTTATGAGCTAAACAACGGATTTTACCTGCTTTTTTAAGAGCCTGTATCTCGGCGATGTTTCAATGGATCGGTACAGCTAAGACATATTCTGATAGGGCAAACCTCACCCTACAAAACCTATGAAGTCGCAACATCACACACCTTCAAAATCCGGATTTATAAGAGTTTAAATGTCAGTTGTCATTAAGCAACATAAAATTGAGAAGATTTTTAAGGTTTTTCAAAATTCTCGTTCTCGGCGGCCACTCCTCAAATCAAACTGATTTTTTCACTGTCTGGTAGGACAACACTTACCCTTCAAAACCTATGAAGTCGCAACTGCGGAGGTCTTCAGCCAGCAGATTTGTAACAGTGGAATGATTTATCGCGATTTTTCATTATTTTATCATTCGAAATTCTGGTTCTCGGCGGTTACTGCCTGGATCGACTTGCATAGATGTATGCCCTTAATACTTTCTTTTACATTCCTTTTGCTTATTTTCCTTTTTTTGAGCTTTAGCAAAAAAAATTTTCAAACGCAAAAGTGAAGGTGGTCACCCTGTACCAGCTCAAAAGTGAAGGTAGGCGGAGAATCGGCTCCGACTATCGCACCTCTGATTGTGACGCGGCAATTTTCGGAAGTTTTTTTTAGAAAAAGATTTCAAAGTTTTCAGAATACATGTCTTTCAGAAAGCGCAGCGTGTGGGTTATAGATAGCTCTATTACCACATGCAATCCAATCATTTTTTCATCTTTGTTCTCCATCCGAACTTCATAGCGGTCACTGTATGAACACGGTCCTTAACGTGTTGAAAAAAACATTGAACGCTCCCTTTTGCAGACGTTTCTCATTGTATTGTCTTGTAAAACGGTTATTTGAACGTCATTTCAATGTTCTGTTTATTTTTTCAATGTTATTGATGATAGTTTTTTCAATAAAAATTTTATTCCAGCGTTACAATGATTACATTGTTTTTCTGTCTTTTATCGGAAGTTTATATTGTTGCATTCATGTATTAATAAATTCCATGATAAAGTGTTCAGCTCATAAGCCCCAAATTTTTTCGATCTCTCCTCATAATTCTCATGTATTCTCGCACAAGTTTCGATGCATGCAAGCGTGTTAGACCTTTTAGGCTAGCGCGAACTTGTGAAGTAAGGAGGATGAAGAAAGAAATAATTTGAGCCCTTTTGGGTGCTTTTGAGCAAAGTTTGATCGGTATCTTCCTTACACAAGCACAAGGTCTCGTTTTTTGAGCTCGAAGGGGTACTCGTTGAAAAGTTTTGGGGTCAAATGGGAATTCGTTTTGGAAAATCCCTTTTGCCCACAGCATGCCGCTCCCCGTCCAGGTCAACTGGAGGGTGGTGAGATTTCAATGCAGTACGATAGCGTGGCTCCTGACTGACGCAGCAACTTAAGTTCGATCGAAAAAGGAGCATTCTGGAGCGAGAAAATCGCTTTGGAAAAAGGGGCGGTACTCCAAACACGTCTCCTTAACGAGTTTTCACGTGGCGAATATAGATGTACTGCCACGTCAATGCTGATTAAAGGCAGCGCCCAGGCAAAATCAGTTCCATATTTTCGACGTTTCTGAATCCTTCGGCATCCCTGATTCCAAATCGGAACTGAAAATTGAGTGAAATCCCCGGAAACCCCCACTTCCGGAACTTCGAAAAGCATTTCAACGCTAATTTGTTGCGGTGCAACGTCAAACCATGCACAGACAGGATACCTTGCAGGTGCGAGGCGCGCGTAACCTGTAAGCTCGCCCGTACAGGTATTAGAGGAGCGAAAAGTTGAAGGGAAGCAGCGCTTAGCCCCCCCCCCACCTGGCTTTCACAGTTCACATTTTGCGGAATTGCTGCTTTGGCTTAGTTGAGGAGGCCTCTGCCGAACAGTGTCAGCATACGAAGTAGGTCTCTGCCCTGACGCTGCCTTCAAGGCGTGGTTAAAGCCGCCAATTTTTTCCGAAGCGACTAAATTCACTTTTTTCGATCGGACTTGAACGTTTGCGTTGGGCAGGAACCACACTATCGTGATCATTGAAATCCCATCACCCTCCAGTTGAACTAGACAATGCCTCTGAAAGGGGTGGCATGACTGCTGCCTCGAATCCTAACAAAGACGAGAGGAAGGTTATTTAGAAATCAAAAATTATACGATCTAATTTGGGTGTAGAACAGGTTCATGCAAAAATTTTGAAAAACTGTTTTGCCAACTCAGGGTGGCATTAGGATGGCAACCTAACTAGAAAAAGCTTGGGCACGCTCTTCATACGCCTGAGTTCCTTGTATGATTCCGTACTTCGTTCTTAATCCCCGAATACCTATACACACGCCAAGTTTGAAGCCATATCTGCGCACTACGAAGTGTCATTTTCCCGCATTTCACCAATAGTGTATTTTCAGAAAAAAAGCTAGCTGCAGCCTTCAGTCACATAATTTTTCCACAGTCCTCTGCGCTATGATTCCTACAAGGGAAGCTTGTTTAATCGAAGTGGCCTTTCTAAATGAGATGTATACATATCAGAGGGCATAAAACGCTGCTTCCAAAACCGCCTTCCTTATCTGCAGAACGTTTATGGACGAGGAGTTACGAGCGTTTTTTGGAGCCAAAAATTGAATGTGCATTTTGGAAGAAATGAGTTGCTAAAATCTTACTAGCTCTCAAATAATGCAACTAAGTGTGATATACTTTTCTATTTTGAAGTATTATTTGAGTAAAGTGCTCTGATGATTATCACTGCTCCATCGAAGAGCTAGAAAAAGTATTACGGCTATATTTGCCCTACTTACACATTCAATTTTTTGCTCGAATAAGCGCTTATAACTTCTCGTCCATAAACGTTCTGCAGATAAGGGAGGCAGATTGGGAATCAGCACTTTATGCCCTTCAGTATGGTATACATACCATCTAAAAGGCCACTTCGACTAAACATGCATTCCTTGTTAGCCCTTGTCCGTCTATATACCGAATTTGGTGTTCTGTGCGCACTGCAAACAAGGCAAATGATTGATTTGATGAATCTGGAATTCTGAGAACGACGTCTTGAACAAGTCGTTTGTGCACGTCGATCGTGTAGTGACTTGTTAGGGAGATGAATATGTGCGTAGAAGGTGTACTTTCTTTCCTTCCCATGAGACGATTTTCAGCTTAAAATTTGCCACCCTCGTGGCGGATCCTGATCTATGGTTTCCGCCACAAAAATGAACAAACTAATGAAGGGCAACCAAAATGGTTTTCTGTCTATCCTGTGGTCGAATTCATCAATGAACCCAGTGGATTCCGCAACCCACTTTGTAGCCTTAACCGACGATCGGTATTCACGAAACTAGTGGGTTTCGAAACCCAGTGAATTAATATTTACTGTACTCACAAACGACCTCAATGGGTTGGCGAACCCAAAAGTTTCGCGAACCCAAGCGTGGTGCAAATTTCGCCATGGGTTATATGCAAAACCCATTCCCTTTGCTAGATGTTAAAAAACTTGTGAGGAGTGATGAAATGAACTATAAGCAAGACTATGCACTAGGAATACTTTTCATATCTAATTGAAAAAAAAGGTTTTTGCAGATAAACTTGAGAATAATATTTTCACAGAGGGGCAAGCAAAATTGGTGCCAATTATGACTTGGTAATCTCTAAAAGTTTTATTTCTTTATCTACGATAAAAGTTGCGAACAAGTTTCGAAGAAATCCGTAGCATCAATTTGTGAAAGCTAAAGCACCGATGTTTGCTGACGCTGTTTCAGATTTTTCACACACCACTGCAACTACAGAGACAACCTCTTTATGTCTATGTATTTGGTTTGTTCGTATCATTATATTATATCAATACCGATCGTATCAGTATTATTAGACCAAAAATTTCATGGATTTGCTCCGCAATCCCATGAAATTTTTGATCTAATAAAGTCAGCAGACAACCGCTATGAATTAACAATGTAATTCAAAGAGGATTCTGGCTGAAATTCTTGTTTGTGTAGAGTGAAACATGACAGAGACGAGAAAAATAAGCGAACTGTTAGTCAAAAACTTGTATGCATCAAGAAGAGAGAACCCTATTCATTAATAATCCTTTTGCATTTTAGTGCTAAAAAATACGTACTCCCTCGCCTACCAATTTGGCGTCCCCGTACAAGACATCCAAAAATGGGTAGTTCAGGTACGTAGTTTTGATGACGGCTCTCCTACTTGCAATCACCAAATTCGCTTAACTTTGTCCCTGCCCCAACCAAGTTTCGATACTCTTACACTCATTTGAAGTATTGTGATATTCGATTAATCTCATGTTAGCGTCAATTTTAGTTGCTGTAGCAAAGTTTGTTAGAAATGGAACAGGGACTGAGAGACACATTGCTGACATAATGAATTAGCGAACCCAGCGAAGCACTTGTGGGTACCGATCTTATCCAGTGGGTTCGTTGACGGATACGGCCACTGGACCTCCTAGCAGCAATTCAACTTATATAACAGTCCCTGCGATACCGCTCGGGCATGTAGTGAACAATATCAGCATGCTTCAGTGCAACTCTAAATAGCCTCTGCTGTATAGGTAACCGATTGTACAGTAGTTGACTGAACCACAACAGCATGTAAGACTCAACAAAAGCACCGTTTTATGAGTTCCACTCAAAATGCCAACTTGCTGTTCTCAACTTAACTTTGAAGTTTCGATGAGCTATGGTGTTCCATTCTCATAATTTTTATACAGTCCAGAGCAACTTTTGACTATAAGATATACAATTCAGATACGACATAAAATGTACACAGGGTCAATCAAGACATATTCATCGTGCTAGCGTTCCGATGAGAGAAGCACACATCTCAAAGAACTGCATCGTTTGCGACAATTTTGCACCCGAAGGAGATGGAGGTGGTGATGGATCTACCTAAAAAGTACGAGGTTACATTCAGTATTATCTACAGCCATCTCTCCAGATTTGAACAACACGATATGAATGTGAAAGGACAGTTTCTGCAGGTTTGCGTGGTCGCTTTTATGTATTTACTTCCTAAGTTCTTTTTGTCGACATTCCTTTTGGTTGAATCGCTGAACAAACAGTGGCATTCATAGACCACACAAGACATGATCATAAGTTTCACAAAAAGTTCAAAATATTAGCTTGCTGTGAATTCTGACCTTTCTGCGATTTTCAACTTCAAATTATTGTAACTATCAAGATCAAGTATTTGCGACAAACTTAATTGTTAAATTCAGCAAGATTTTGGTTATCAAACAGATAATCAGCCCTGAAGGATACTACCGATGAAGAACGATTCGAAAATTTTGCAATGCTTTCTTCAAACAGCATCGATGCGGTCACATCACGAGAAGAACATATGAAAAATGGACCTTAACAAAAACAACATAAGAGTGAGTTCCTCGAGAAGCAAAACGTCCCCGATGAACAGAATTACCACCAACAAAATAAGCACGACGTAATCATGGAATGGATGGACCAACTGAATACGAATTTTGCACCTGGAAATCGCAGAAGCAGACACCGAAGACCACCAAGAAGTTGTGAATGCTTGAAGCGATAGATAGAGAGCAATAAAAACTTCTGTACTGCGCCTCGCAGGCCACGTGCAGTTGGGCAACTCAATTATCCGACGAGGGAAGCCTTTATAGTCGAAATGGCCTTTCTGATGAGTCTTACACAACTCTGAAGAGCACTGAACGGTGACTTCAGATCGCTCTTCATTATTTGCCACGCGCCTCTCGACGCTGACAAGGAAACGATACTCTGTGTCCGTGGCCTTTTGAAATGAGTTGTATACCATTACACTCGTCTTGGAACGCTGATTCTAAATCTAAATTCCGTTTCTGCTAATCGCTTTAAAGATGTAATGGATCGTGTGGAGTTTGCCTGCCCAGTGAAATACGGTCGGAGCGGCAAGTCTACCTGCACGCCGTGGTCTAGTGGTTAGTGTGATAGCCTCATGAGTTGATGCAGGTGCAGGTTCGAACCTCTTTGCGTGCTTCAGTTTTGCATTGTCTCAATTAACCTTCTTCCGCATCCTCGAGCTAATTGAACGCCCTTGAAGGCAGCGTACACCCAAAATTTCACCTTCGATGTTCTTGTCTTTCTGGGTCCTTTCCGTGCCCCTGATTACAGTTATGACACTGAAATTCTCCAACCCCCCCCCCCAAAAAAACCCGATTCCCCGGGACCCTCTCTTCAGAAGGCGGAGAGTTTCGAACTGCTCGTCCCCGAAGGCATGCCAGCAGCTGCTGGCAGCATGACAGCCTGTAGTTGCAACTGCGACTGCTGCGTATAATGTCGTGGTTCGTCGCCCAAAGGAGGCGGACTGCGAAAAGCAACTACACTGTTGCAACTAGAGTTGCAGGCAACAGCAGTTGCAACTGAAACTGCAACTGCAACTACAGCTTATCCAATGATCGTAATTCGAGTAAATTTTGCTTGCTGAGTTCTGGATTCCTCAGAGATTCAGCAATATATCTGCAAAAGATAAGAGCGAAAAAAATTCAACAGGCGGTCTCTCAAAAATCCGCTGAGTCAGCAAGCGGTCTTCCGAAAAGTCCTGATTGCTTTGCAAAAAATCCGCGAGCGGGGTGCGAGAAATCAGCAATCTATTTTTCCGGTGCCCGCCTACCTCCGGCGATTGTCTGAGTGGGTGGAACAAGCTAATAGTAGATATCTCCACCCCATTTTTGAAAACTGCTAAGTGTTTTCGCCCAGCAACCTATATACCATTCGAAAGCTCAGAAAAAGGGGATTCGACCTTGACCGTCGATTTATTTCCAGCCCCCATCTACCGAGAGATACGCTGCATTTTACCTGAAATCATGACCATTTTCAACAGCAGGTTTTTGCCAGACGAAGACCTAATCACAGCTGGTTATCCATATATGTTACAGAGCAAGTCTTCGTTAACAAAAGAGGACCGTAGACTTTCTCGTAGCACTCATTTGGAGAGCAGAAAGTGAGGACACAAAATCAGTTGATATATGAAGTACATGAAATGCCTCATATCTCGCGGCACAGAAGACCTAGAAAAAAGTCGACGGAATCATGCCGATTCTACATGACCTCATTTTCGAATGATATGTAACTTTTTGAGGCATTTTGCCAGGGCTCACTTACCCCCTTCACCTTACAAGGATGGGAGTAGCAGAGACCCCCTTCACCTGGAGAGGGCCCGGCTCCCTCTATCGCACCTATGGTCACGACTATTCGAAAGCCCTATGTGTGTGTGTATGTGTGTATGTGCGTGTATGTAAGTGTAAGCGTGTAAGTGTGTGTCTCTTGATGCTTCGATGTGAGCTGGTAAAATTTGTAGCCCAAAAAACATATTTTGGAGCGCCTAGAGACAGAAATGTTTTAAGCTATCTAACAAGATCAACGTCCTCTTTCTGAACTTCACTGGGTCTCAAACTTTGTAAATGTAACTTTACGGAGACTCCGAAAGCGAAAAATTCCAGCTTGAATTTTCAAAATTCGTTTCTCGCAAAATGCACTAGTATTGACACCGATTTCCTAGTGATCGTATAATTATGAACCACACTTCAGTGTAAACCTCGAATAAGCAAAAGTGATGCACTGGTCCTCAATAGCCTACCACATCACCACATAATTGCTGCATGAGTGGATGAGATATACCTACGCTAGTTATGAATAAAATGCCTGGAACTAAGAACAAATGACAGCGAACAGAAACGAGTTTGATAAGGTATTCTGTTCAAGACCTTCGAACAGCTTTGCAAATAAACTCAGATTAGAGGCAGCGTCCATGCAAATCTAGACATGAGGGGATCTCACATGGATGGTAATTTTTAGGCCCCAACTAAGCCACTGCCCGACCGACAGCTCAGGTAGCCTCTAACGGCTGAGATATTCCCCTCGTATTTCGTAGGATCGTATTTCGCATGGATTCATGGCGCAAACCATCAGTTTCGCGTGGGTCCTCGCGCGAACTGATGGGCTGAGCCATGAATCCATGCGAAATACGATCCTGGGATCCAGTTTGGAGGCGTTCTCAGCCGTTGATGAGTCACCTACGCTGCCGCTTGTGCAGTGCCTTAGTTTGGGCCCCAAATTTACTTTCCATGTAAAATCCCTATAGATCCAGACTTGCCTGGACGCTGCCTTCAGTAATGAAGAAGCAGGGAGATGCAGAGTAAAACATCACCGCGAAAATTGGAAGCGTGGTCTAATGCTTGTACTAAAAACGAGTGGATGTACACTGTATATGGATCGTAAACAATAGCATAAAGATAGCTATAACACTTTCTTTTCTAAGTGAACACGTCCAATTAACTTCAAAATGTTAGGCTAATACTTACATCCATAGAAATCGCATGTCGTGCTCGCATTCCAGCAGGTTTTGATGGCATTGACATCGATGCATGACGTGAAGAACATGCACTTCCCGCTGAACAAATAACATTCGAACAATCAAATTTTGACAGTACGTGACAATTCGGACTATCTGCATGGAGGACAACGGTCTTATTCCTGTACCCGCTTGAAATAATAAAAGCAAGAGCACTGCAGAAAAGGACAAGAATTTTACATTGAAGATTTCCAAACAAAAATGGATTCTCCTACTTCTGTTCAGAAAACCGCACCAGGGGCGGTATTATCAATCTCCCGCTCGCTGTTCGGGCGTTTTGCATCGTTATACACAGCCCGGACAGGCGAGAGTGTTCAACCCGTACTTTGATTAGCATGGCCCAAATGAGCAGCAGAGCCCGATCCGTCGAGATCGGACCTGCCGTGCCCGACAGGCCAAATTTGCAGATCGGACGCTTGAGCCTATGCACTGTCCTAATGTGGGGTCCAGACAGTATGGCGATGGGAATTTCTGATAACTATTGTGATCCATTCCAGCCTTCTATATTATACAATCTGATGTGTATTGCTTTCATTCAGCCAAGAAACAAGACTTCTTGATTATTTGCATATTTCTGCAACAAGTTATCCCTGTGCTTTGAATAGTGCGCCACTGATATTCAGGACAAACTAGTTGACTTACCCGGCTCCGCCCGGTCCTGTCAAAACACAGTAATAAAGGTCCCATCCCTATTCCTCTACAGCCTTTCCCTGTGCCCACTTCTACACTTCATTTCCCTTTCCCTGTGTTGTTTTCGAAATCAGCATGCCCACTTACCCCTGCGCCAATTCCCAGCCCTTCAGCTCAAATTTTGAAAAAATTGATATCGATAAAAGTAATGGACAATTCCAGAAACTAAGATTGTATTCATGACCAGCATGCTCGATTACCCCCTGTGCCAAATCCCAGCCTCGTAGCTCGAACTTTGCAAAAATCGATAAAAGTAATGGGTAATTCTGAAAAGTAATATTGTATTCGGAATCCCCATGCTCACTTACCCCTATGTGCCAACTCCCGGCCCCGTAGGTGAACTCCGCAAAAATTGATAAAATCGATATTCATCGATAACGAAAAGTAGCCTGTGACACGCTCCCTGCCCCGAAGTATATGTGTGCCAAGTTTGGTCCAAACCGGTTCAGAAGTAAAAATTTCTATTCCGCACATACGTACATACAGACATACATACAGACAAACACACATTCAGCTTTATATATAAGACTGGCCGTTTACGGCACTTTCCAAAAAAAGTGACTTCAATTCCTCAATTTGACTTTACTGTTGTTGACATGGTAACCAACGTGCATAGCAATACCAAAACTGTGCCGGAGGATCGAAAGGAAAGGAAAAGCAGTGAAAAACGATAGGTTTTTGAATGTTTGCGATATGCAAAGTTTATGCCAGCAGGCGTTTTTGATATGCGCCCGCTCGCGCTGCTGGCGTGCTGCCTTTTCAGATAGGTCCCCAAACAGGCACGAGAAATGTACGGGAGATTGACAAATACCGCCCCAGAGATTCGTGCAGGGCGTCTACACGCCACACGAGATGAATAACATCTAGGGACAAATTATCAGTTCCGATAAAAATAATGGATCTTATATATAAAGCTGTGTGTGTGTGTGTGTGTGTGTGTGTGTGTGTGTGTGTGTGTGTGTGTGTGTGTGTGTGTGTGTGTGTGTGTGTGTGTGTGTGTGTGTGTGTGTGTGTGTGTGTGTGTGTGTGTGTGTGTGTGTGTGTGTGTGTGTGTGTGTGTGTGTGTGTGTGTGTGTGTGTGTGTGTGTGTGTGTGTGTGTGTGTGTGTGTGTGTGTGTGTGTGTGTGTGTGTGTGTGTGTGTGTGTGTGTGTGTGTGTGTGTGTGTGTGTGTGTGTGTGTGTGTGTGTGTGTGTGTGTGTGTGTGTGTGTGTGTGTGTGTGTGTGTGTGTGTGTGTGTGTGTGTGTGTGTGTGTGTGTGTGTGTGTGTGTGTGTGTGTGTGTGTGTGTGTGTGTGTGTGTGTGTGTGTGTGTGTGTGTGTGTGTGTGTGTGTGTGTGTGTGTGTGTGTGTGTGTGTGTGTGTGTGTGTGTGTGTGTGTGTGTGTGTGTGTGTGTGTGTGTGTGTGTGTGTGTGTGTGTGTGTGTGTGTGTGTGTGTGTGTGTGTGTGTGTGTGTGTGTGTGTGTGTGTGTGTGTGTGTGTGTGTGTGTGTGTGTGTGTGTGTGTGTGTGTGTGTGTGTGTGTGTGTGTGTGTGTGTGTGTGTGTGTGTGTGTGTGTGTGTGTGTGTGTGTGTGTGTGTGTGTGTGTGTGTGTGTGTGTGTGTGTGTGTGTGTGTGTGTGTGTGTGTGTGTGTTCCGAACAGAAAATTCCATTTCTCAACCGATACGGACCAAACTTGCACACATACACTTCGGGGCAGGGCGGGTGGCTTATTCGACATGCTAATTACGTATCACCTCTCTCTGCATATTGGGACCTTTTTCATAGAGTTACGACTACGATATTACTACGATATTATTAGACTACGACTACGACTACGACTCAAAAGACTACGATATTCGTCATCAGCAGCTTTAAGCATCCCCATGTACCGACTTTGAGCAAAATCCATCACAAAAACATTTTGGAGCCGGATAGCCGAAAAGCGCCATCAGTTTTCAGAATTATCCTTACTTTTATCGAATTCATGTTAGGGGGCTGCGGGTTGTTGAGGGAGGTAGGTGGGCGTGCTAATTACTAACACAGCGGGAATAGGGAATTGCATGTAGAAGTGGGCACAATGAAAGGTTCTACAGGGATAGGGATAAAAGCTTAGTCATAGCATTCACAGGGCCGGGCGGAGCCGGGTAAGCCAGCTAGTTACAAATAGTTACTGATCATGCTTGGTAGAGCCCTTATGTTATACCTATGATAGGCAAACGATAATGATGGGAGGGGCGTATTAAATCAGAGTTTGGGGGGGGGGGGGAGTTGTATCCACATCTCTTGCTCGACTCTGAACATAATTAAACTGATTACACAAGGCGAAAAAGTGCTTATCTTTTTGAGATAATAAATTTTTTTTCGAATTTTGCGTATAAACCAAGACTTGCAATTTTTATCTTTAGATCTTCACTAATCAGGAAGAAAAACAACCCATCAAAAGAACGGAAAAAGCTGCATCGAGCGAATCAAGAAGGTTCACTGTTATGTTTTAAAAAATTTGGTGCCTATATATAAATTTCATAATATCAAAAAAATAATATTAGAAATTTTCAAAAGCCAGCTATAGGTGCCGAAAAATGAATTCCGCATTCGCTTATTCCATCCAAAAGTGATCAAAACCTTTCCAATTCCGTGTATTTTTTCAGAATTAGCTGAAATCAGGAAGGTAACCATGGGTTAAAAATTTCAACGGATAATCTGGCGACCATGATAGAACTTGAAGCAAAAGTTACTGGGGATGAAGAAGAAACTCTGCATCAGGTACTGTTTCAAGCGCTTGTCATTTATTGAGTGATCTGAGCAGGTCTGAAGCGATAAGTATCAGACTGACCTAACATATAAGGTTCATACAAAAGGGGGGGGGGGGGGCACGCGGAAGGCGACAATGCGCGCAAAATGTAAGCAGTGTAAAACCGCTCTCGCTAATATTTACAGAAATTTTTTTCTGGCATCGCGTCATGTATCTGCCCCCAGCCCACCCCCCTACCTTGGCGCCGTGTCACTTTAGACGGAAGAGTTTTGAAAGGCACACTATTTGGAGATTGTCGCTTTCCGCACCACACCCATACAAAAGTACATCGCACAAATTTTGACAAAATCATATCTTCTTGATCACTTAGCGGATTTGCACAAACTCAATTTTACTAGTTGTTACAAAAAACTATTCTTTGCAAAAGTACCTTTGCTGCTCTCTAATAAGGTAGGCTTTAGGTGGAAACAGGCGAATGCAGCCTTCAACTTTGGTCAATCTGATTTGAGCTGCTAGAAAGCTGAAATTGGTGGTCACTTCTGCGAAGAGTTATAATTTTCAAAGAAAAAAAGCCAAAAAATCAAACTTGCTATAATAAATACTATTTGTGCCGCTTGAAAGTCTCCGTCAGAAGTTATGATTCTCGAGAAAAGTGACAAATTAATCAACTTTGTCGTTCAGTTGTTAACTCGAAATTCAGTACTTTTCACGGAAGCGTGCAGACAGCACAAACATTTCTTTTTGGTTGCAAAAAATAGGACATAGGACTTATGCACCAACGATTTCAGATTATTCTGCGACCGCGATTTTTCCCGAATTTTTGGAGACCTATCATAAAATGATGATCAAAGCCTGGAGACTTCTTTTCACATTTTTATCTATGCAGTGAGTTTATGATAGAATCTTATCTATAAAAGACTTGAGATGCAGAAACAAATATTTTTGCCGTTTTTTGCATTTTCATCAAAAATTATAACTTTTAACAGTAAAGCTCGATCAACGCAAGTTTGGCACCTTTACGAAGAGCGGCCAAAGAAAACCCTAAGATATACAGGGTGTCCCAAAAAATGTGCACACTGTTTGATTGTAAATAACTTTCTTGTAGTGAAGTGTTTCGAGAAGCTTTAGGTCCCATTTTGTAGAGGGAGGTTCAACTTAGATTTACAGTGTAGAGCGAATCGCCGATCGCTCATTCTTACTGTAGGAGTACGGTAGAAACTTCAAACATATGGTGTCACTGTGAAAAAAGCGGCCGTTTCAAAAATTTTCAAAAAAAAAATGTGGAAATTTGTGTAATAGGGTTTTTATAGACCCTGAGTTCAATACCCAACTCTTTACAAGGTTGAGAAGCTTTCTAAACGGTGTAACCGCACTTTTTAGGAACACTTAAAAAACGTCTGCTACTGCTTACCTCGCATAATTTTTTAATGAAGCATTACGAAGTGTTGCGAACTTCACATTTAGAATCATCGACTCTAGTTAGCCCAGTGTAAGAGTTTTCAGGTTGTTTTGGTTTCTTTTTGGAACAAAATATGGCCGTTCATGGCTCAAAACCCTCTTCAAAGTTTTTACCGTAATCCTACAGTAAGAATGAGAGATCGGCGATCCGTTCTACACTGTAAATATAAGTTGAACCTCGCTCTACAAAATGGTACCTAAAGCTTCTCGAAACACTTCACCACAAAAGTTATTTACATTCAAACAGTGTGCACTTTTTTGGGACACTCTGTATGCTTTCAAATTTTTCTCAGCGGTTCAGATTTTTGACAACTTATTATCGAAAATCTAAGTTGGAGAGGTTCTCCTATTCGAATTTTTATCTTTGGAGTTTCGTATTGCAAAAAGCCGCGAAGGTGTTATCAGAAAGTAGATAAATTTTTCTCTCTGATGGGATTTTTTGTAAGCAAATACGTTCACAAAGGGAACAGCTAAGAATCTTCAAAAACCGTTAAGCTAGTTTGATGAGCTTTTTCTCGCCTGTTATACGGGAAGGCTATGAGGCATCCCGACACACACCTGGCAAAGAAATGTAGGCAAGGAACTTTAGTAAAAAGATGTTTGCAACAACACTCACAAGAACTTTCGTCGTCCACAAGACTTTTGAAATCCAATAAGTAACTTCTTTGATCCACTTGGTACAGTTGTAATGACATCTTCGGCTGGAAAAAAAGCTTATGTCAACGAATCATTAGGCATTAGCAATGGCCAACCTAATTTGAAAAAAAAATTGGGCACGCTCTTTAATCATACAGGTTTTTCATGATTTTTCATACTCTAATCCCCAGTCCCACGCGTATATATACCAAAATCTTGACTAATCGTCTACTGTGCGGTGCAAAAGAGTCATTTTGCCATTTTTTGTAGGGAGAAATTTCCAGAAAAGAAGCTTGCCACATCTTTCAGTCACACAATTTTTCTAGATATTAGGTTGAACCGAAAGTTCGTTCGCACCATTTTCAAAAAATCATAACTTCTTTCCCTCACAACGATTTTGCGCAATTCAAATTTTGTCAGAAAGCACAAAGCATGTAGTTTCCAAAAGTCCCCTGGCGACTTTCCAATATGCTCAGGTTGCAGAGATAAAAATGAAAAAACGAGATCATCCGAAATTCGGAATTTTAGAGCAAAAATTCTAAAAATCTGGAAACTGTGCGATAAAATCAAGAACAGCCATCATCTTAAATTTTCTTATATTTTATCACTAACTGAGTCAAGTTCGTGCTGATCGAGCTCTTTTCTCAAAAGTTATGACTTCTTGGAAAAAAATGCCGAAAAATCAATTTCTTAAGAATGCTTAGGAAATTGATTCTTTGTCATTTTTTCCGAAAAATTATAACTTTGGAAAAAAGAGCTCGATCAGCACAAACTCGACTCAGATAAAATAAAAGAAAACTTAAGATGACGGCTGCTCTGGATTTTATCGCACAGTTTACAGATTTTTAGAATTTTTGCTCAAAAATTCCGAATTTCGGATGATCTCGTTTTTTCATTTTTATCCCTGCAACCTGAGCATGTTGGAAAGTTGCCAGGTCACCTTTGGAAACTAAATGCTTTGCGCGTTCTGACAAAATTTGAACTGCGCAAAATCGTTGCGAGGAAAGAAGTTATGATCAGGGTCAAGCAAGGGGTGTGGCACACGATCGCTGGTTACGACCCCCCCCCCCCTCCTGAACCATATACCTAAGATAGCATTACCAGAGTTGAGAAAGAGGTCAGGCACAAGTCTTTCGAAACCCCCCTCCCCTCCCATAAAAGCCCTCAAACAACCCCTTCTTCCTCCTCTTAACCTCTGGACCTCAAAGTGTGACATTCTGGAGGACACCATCTTTTTCTAGAGAGTTTTCAGATTTCTGAGAGCTGTACGCCCGATTTTCTGTGACTGCACTTTACAATCACATGTAATTTGACGGCTGATTTTGATCTGAATGGGCATATTGAAAGGGCCATGATTTTCTTATGGGTGGGGCGTTCGGCTCCAAATTTCCAATGTAGCAAGAAGAAGCTATGTGCTCAATAGTCGTATCAGCAATGGAGCGCTTTCTGGATTTTGAAGGCAAGTTAAGGGGGTGCGGCACACCCCATTAACTATATCGAAAAAAAATTTTTAGCGGACAGTATTTATATGAATCGATAGTCTAAAGCTTGTAGATTCCATAGGACTGTTTGAAGCCTGATTTGTCTTCTTAGCTCTAAGTAATATTTGGTGAAAGCACAGCGAACAAAAGCGAAAAATGGGAGAAACGAGATTTTGGTTGGCTTCTAATTTCACAGTTTGCAGGTCTTCTGAGGCAGGATTCCTGAGGTGGACAAAGAAGGAGTAGTGCTTTGTCTTGAGTGCAAAAAAGGATAGCTAATTCACCTTTGAAACAAAGTTAACCATGTTGGAATTTACCATTTTATTTAGGTAGCCTAGTATCTTGAATCTTCAGAATTCGCTCACACTTTGTCTACAGGGGTTAATTGACATGCTAATTGTGGATCTGATACGAATATCATGTTATCACTGTTATCAGATTACCCAACTACGACCCCCTCCCCCTTTGACTCCTCAATACGACCCCCAGGTGTGGCGTGCCGCACCCCATGCTTGACCCTGGTTATGATTTTTTGAAAATGGTGCGAACGAATTTTCGGTTCAACCTAATACTTTGCACTATACTCCTCAACCCTTGTCCCTCTAAACTCAACGTTCGACTCATATCGTTATGTTTGCGCTTTAAATTTGGCACTTGATTACAACTCAATGGAAAACGTTTGGATTCAAGGGCGAGTTGACCGTGTTCTTGCATTTCACTCCTGTGCTTTTTCCTCTACAAGAATGCAGCTTGACATTTGCACCCTAGTGCCGGGTCCTGCAGACAAACTAGATATTGTTTACAAACGAAGGAAAAGTTCTGAATGCACCATGCTTGCTGAATCTGCCGTTCATCTACACAAGTTATCTTATACAGGGTGTCCCAAAAAAATGTATCGAACGTTTGATCGTGAATATCTCTCTTCCCAAGAAGTCTTTTGCCTTGCTTCAGGTACCATTTTATAGAGCTGTGTTCAACTTAGACTTTCATTATAAAACGAATCACCTATCTCTCTTCATTACTGTAGGATTACGGTAGAAACTTGAAACATTTGATGTCAATGTGGAAAAAGCTGCCTTTTCAAAATTTTTCAAAAAATGTGAAAACATGTGTAATAGGGTTTTTATGGACGCTGAGTTCAATACTCAACTATCCACAAGATTACGAAGCTTTCTAAACGGTTTATCCGCACTTTTTAAGAACATTGAAAAAATGGCAGCTACCTCTTACCTGGCATAAGTATTCAATGAAGCATCATAACAAGTTGGGAACTTTACAGTTATAATTAGCAACTCCAATTAGCCCAGTGTAAAAGTTTTTAGGCTGTTTTGTTTCTTTTCTGAGGCAAGATATGGCCTTTCATTGCTTCAAACTCTTTTTGAAGTCTCTACCGTAATCCTACAGTAATGAAGAGAGATGGGTGATTCGTTCTATACAGCAAATCTAAGTTGAAGCCAGCTCTACAAAACGGTACCTGAAGCAAGGCAAAAGACTTGTTGGGAAGAAAGATATTAACGATCAAACGTTCGATACATTTTTTTGGGACACCCTGTATATAAAGCTGAATGTCTGTTTGTATGTGAAGATTATCGCTTCTTCGAGCAGTTCTCCTTTTGTAAATGCTCTTCGCAAAAATGTTCACAGGAAAGGAATAGGAAACTTATTTACAAATATTTATAGCCACAACGAAGCCCTTGTATTGTATCTGCCTCGACCCACTTGCTAGCGACCCGTAGGGTCGCTAGTCTTATATATAAAGCTGAATGTCTGTTTGTATGTATGTCTGTATGTCTGTATGTATGTACGTATGTTCCGAATAGAAAATTCCATTTCTGAACCGATCGGGACCAAACTTGGCACACATACACTTCGGGCCCCGGCGGGTGTCATAGGCTACTTTTCGTATCGATCGATATCGATTTTTGCAAAATTTGAGCTACGAGGCTGGGAGTTGGCACAGGGGGGTAAGTGAGCATGGGGATTCCGAATACAATATTAGTTTTTAAAATCGTGCATTACTTTTATCGATTTTATCGATTTTTTGCAAAGTTTGAGCTACGGGGCTGGGATTTGGCACAGGGGGGGTAATCGAGCATGCTGATCACCCCCGTGGGGATGATCAGCATGCTCGATTACACCCCCTGCCAAATCCCAGCCCCCTAGCTCAAACTTTGCAAAAAAATCGATAAAATCGACATCAATCGATAACGAAAAGTGGACTGTGACACCCGCCGGGGCCCGAAGTGTATGTGTGCCAAGTTTGGTTCGGATCGGTTAAGAAATGGAATTTTCTATTCGGAACATACGGCGGAGCCGGGTATGCCAGCTAGTTTATTCTTAAAAATTTGTGAGCACCATCGTATTCCCCTTATGCAATATACATGGATTTTCAAGAATTCGTACATACATCTTCCATGCTGTTTTTCGAGACAAAACACGAAGTGGTTTTAATCCTACTTTGTTTCACCTTTCTTGGTTTTCCTTCTGATTTTTGAAACAATTGGTACCCCCTTTACAAAGCAACTTTTGTTTTCCACTTGAAAAGTTTATATAATTTCCAGGTCAGAAAACGAGGCGCATAAAAACCTCTCATGCACTTTATTTCATTGTATTAGGGTGATCCGAAAGTAGGGCACATACTTTTTTAGGGCCTTTTTCTGATAACCTATGAACAACCACCAATTTGAACGCTTTCGTTTAAAGTGACCTTCGCAAATTATCCAGACGGCGCCTTGCAGCACCCTACACACAATCCTTCGGGCGGCGCTTCGAAGAAGTCAGACCGACTTTTTCTGAACGCCATCCAAATTTGTGCTGCTGTGCAGAGAGTGCCTAGACATATGAAATACTAGTTGGCAAACCCGGCCCCGCCAGGCCCTGTCGATAACATATTTGTAATCAGCATGCTCGATTACCCCCCTGTGCCAACTCCTAGCCCCGTAGCTCAAATTTTGCAAAAAATCGATAAAATCGGTATCGATCGATAACGAAAAGTAGCCTATGACACGCTCCGCGCCCAGAAATATATGTGTGCCAAGTTTGGTCCAAATCGGTTCAGAAATAAAAATTTCTATTCCGCACATACGTACATACATACATACATACAGACATACGCACATTCAGCTTTATATATAAGATCAATCAAAAGAGCTTTTCAAGCTCTTTTCAATGGATACTCGAGTAACAAAAAACTGCAATATTTCGTATAAAAGAGGCACTTTATTCGAAAAAATGCATTGTTTGGAGCAGATTTTCAGCTAAAAATCATGTTTTGGCCCGCAATTTTCTGAAAATTAAAATTGAGGTAGGCTTATATATGGATAGAGCGCAGAAAACTCATCAGATAACAAGTGGTGGCTCATTTGATTACCTTGATGAGAGAATAAATTATATGTCTCCTAATACCCAATGCTATATCCCTTATCTCGAAGCGTTGGGACCAAAGTCAAGCGTATGATGCGACTGTCGCAACGGGGGGTCGTAGGCGGGGTAACGGTGAGGGGGGGGGGATCGTAAAAGGAGGTAGTTTGGATAAAAAACCGAAAGCATGGAAGGAAATCGAATGGCAAATATTACATGTTCTT